AACACATTTTATCAAATGTTTTTCAAATATATTTTTGCAAAGCCAAGAGGCAGAGCAGAAATATGGACAAAGATGACTACTTGATGATAAGGTCCAATAATTATGGTATCGTTCCACCGGGCACTGCTGTTTACTATGGTGCTTTTATTGTCATTTTATGGTCAATTTTTTCACTGCCAAGTGAACCATACGGTACCTGAGTACCCTTGCTGAATTTAGTTACCCTTCTTGCCGGAACAATGTATGTGCTGAGTTGGGACATATGGGTGGACTTATCAAATCACCACATCACTGATTGGTCAAAAGCTGTAATCACAGAATAGTCCCTGCAGACGGACAACTGCCATTAAAAAGCAACAATCGCATCTGTCATGAAATTTAGAGTCTCTGTGATTACACTTCTTTCCCCCTAGATGGCAGAATAGGTCTTAGGTCTGTGGAATGTATCTATGAAAAGGTAAGAGTGCTGTCCAGGGTTCTGTTCTAACAGGTGACCTGCAGTGCTTCTGTTTTCAGTCAGTAAATTATGATCAATACAATTTTCATCTTTCAGTGACTTTTTCATAGAAAACAGATTTAACTGATTTTTAGAGATGATTCACAAACACCTTCAGTCTGCCCACATGTACAGAATGCTGACCCTAATGTTAAGCACATTCATACATCCGATCAAGCTGAAATTTTGTAGTTAACATCTAGTCAAAAAATTTACATCAATATCTAAGGACAATATGATATATTGAAATTGCCATCAGCCAATCAGGTTTCTGCAGGCATTTGAGAGACTTAACATTAAGCAATCATCATGAAACTTGAATGCTGTGTCTATGTAGGCACTTTCTAACAACGAGTGTACTTTCAAAATATTTGGCAACTGGGGGGCGCTACTCATGAAAATCAAGTAAGTATGTATGTCTTTTTTCCTCTGTTTTCCTATGATGTAGTACAGTATGCCAAACAAAGTTACATTTACAAGTGTCTTTAAAATTGCAATTTTGTAATCATTAAAAGTTTGAGAACTACAGTTTTCAAACTAGACTCTGGGTTTTGAACCTAACTTTTTTTTTTTTTTCCATTGGTCTAGAATTACACTGTGGCCTTTTTAGGTAAATAATTTGCAAAAACTGTTGACTTTTCCTCATTATAGTCACACTATACTATATACACATATACATACACACTGTATGTACTCTGATGAGGTCTGTAAAATTTGGACCAGATTGGCCTTTAGGGGGCACTTCAGGACTCAAAAACACTTAAAATCATTAAAAAATGCTATAACAATGTAATTACAAAGTTAAAAGATTAAAAAATGGGGCCAAGTTATTCAGTTCACTGCCCTAAATAACTTTATAATTACATGTTACGTCATAAATTGGACTCCTTGTCTGGTACTTTTACTTTTTCATTCAAAGACTACATTTTATTATACAAAGGTCAGAAGGTCAATTTGAACAAAACTTGGTGAACATCTTTGTAGAAAGACCCTGATCTATAATTTGACAAATTCTGAGCCACTTTGAAAATTAGCAATTTCATTACAAAGTCTTCTTTAATCAAACTAAAAAGAGGGAGATATAAATATAAATACCACTTAAGACACACACACATATTTTACAAGGTAGATTTCAAAAATATGATTTTTATCCGGCCACTCAGCCCAGTTCTCATTCATTAATGGTCTTTCAGCACAGTGTTTCATTTGAGAGAAGAAATGTTTGTCATTTTTTGTTTCATAAACTGGATTACTCTTTATGACTGTGCATCTGCTTGTGTCAGTTTAAAGAAGCAAGATTAGAATCTGTCGCCGGAATCTGTCGCTGGGATCTCACTCTGTTCCTCAGATGATCTGATGATGTTTATTCTATCAGCTGGGTAACACTGTACTGAGATCAGCACTGATAAACATACCAGTGATCATTACTGCTTCATACAGTAATTATGAAGTTGTAATTAAGAAATGGAACTGGTTAAAGTTCTATGTCACTAAATATATAATGTTAAAGAAATTTAATATTAAACACTGTTAAATTATTCAGACTTTGCAGTAGATAAAGTTCATCTCTTGCTGCACCTAAGAAGGTCACTTGCAGTCTCTGACAGGAAGAAGCATGTAAATGAACCTGGGCATTTCAACAGAGTGCAGTAGATTAGTGCTGTCTCTGTTCTCACCATTTATCATTTGGACATTGGAGATGAGCCTCGTTACAGAACGGTAAGATGTTTTATTTGATTCAGAATATTGAATATAATTGATTAGAAAGATACAGTACATATTTGGTTATTTATATTTAGATTGATGTTTCTACCATTTCAATTTCAAAGAAGTACAGTTTATTTTCTCATGTGGAATTTTTTTCGGGAAAAGCCTGGAGAACATATATGTTCACACAACACAAATTACATAAAAATAAATAAAATGCAAATTAGCATGTTATTGCCTGAGAAACAAAACGACATGCCTTAAATCTGCACTGTAGAGGGAGAATAGCTCTGAATGAAGAAGGTCATCCATGTTGCTCAGTATAGACCTTCCGTTGCGCAGAACCTGCTGGTCATAAAAACTTAAATTTCACTTTAATACCTGTTTATAATATTATAATAAATTCTAATATATATTTTGTTCCTCGCAGTCAGGGAACCATAACTTGCAGCTATGGAAAAATGAAGAACTGATATAATAAAATAAAACACTTCAATATACATTAGACGTCATTACAGTGTCAGCATTTAAAGCTTTGGACTTCATCAGGACTTTGGATGAAGATCTGGAAACATTTCATTAACTAAATATATCCTCCAGGCTGCTGTGTTGAGGTCATTGAGAATGTTTCTTCCTCTTCCTCTGTCCTTTCTGCTCATGATTGTTGGTGAGTCAGTGTTTGTTGTGGTTTGTGGTTTCTCTCAGAATCAGCTCAGTGTTGTAGAGGAGCTGCTGGAGTTAGAGAGGAGAGAAGTGAAGCTGTAAGCTACAGTAACTCTGACTGTCTTATGGGCTCCAGACTCTGTAATCAGCTCTTTCATGCATCATATGTTTCAGGAGCTTTTGGAACAGAGTGGAGTGTGAAGTACTTTTATTAAGTTATTAAATAGTTTTGAATTAACTTTCAAAACTGACTGGATTATTATTTAACTATAAATACTACGAGTAATTTTTCAGGAAACATTACCAAAAAAAAATAAATAAATAAATAAATAAAAAAGAAAAACACACAATAAAACAAACACACAATAAAACAAACAAACATAAAATCCCTGTGAGGACAAAACTGTCTTGTTTCTGCAGATCTAAGATCACACAGTGGAAGATAAATTGACAGTTCTTTAAAATCATTTTGAAACTTAAAAACTAGTAAAAGAACAGTCAGTGCAGTTCTTTTAAAATAGAGGTGATGTGATCTGTCTTTATTGTTTTTGTTAAGATCTGTGCTGAATTTTGTATGGGTTGCAGAGGATGTACTGTATTAAGAAGAGCATTACAGTAATCAACTGTACCTGTAACAAAGACATTAGCAAGTATTTCTGAAGTGCTTTGAGATAGAAAAAAGTTCTGCTTTTTCTATCTCGATATTTCTCAAACGCCATAAAGGCCCTAAAACTGAAGCTTGTGGGACTCCACAATAATTGTGTTTATCAATGGTTTGAACAATTAACTAAATATGATTTAAAACCATTTGAAACTGTACATTAGAGGCCTAAATGGAAATGCAAGATACAAGGTGCATTAGAAAATCAAAAATAGCAAAAATGGAGATAGAGGACTTTTTGCCTGACAGTGATGATATAAAAATATGTACCCAAATATATGTTTGCCCTATTTTGTTGGTTCACTCATTGGACTTAAGTCAGAAAAAGTGTTTGGAGTCCAGTCAAATCTGATTGGAAAATAATGCAATAACAGTAAAAATAGAAAATAATATTGAGAATTTTGATAACGGTATAAATAGCAGTCCTTATACTGAAGTACACAAAAACCTTATTTTTATGTGTACATTGATAAAAACAAATGATACAACTATGAGTTTCATTTAAAGACTTTTGCTTCATATCACTAAATAACTCTAAAATGGAAAATATAGATTACCTAGTACAGTAAGATCTACCTCATATACTGCAGTGTGTGTTGTACCATGACTCTTAGAGGTCGGTTTTCAGCTCTGGTGATAGATGTCAAAACTTGATGAAAACTCCTCAATGATAATGCTAACTTCTGTTATTAGTGCTAAACTAACAGGGATTTCACAGGAACACTTTCTGAAGAATCTGACGTTAGCCTCTTATTGCTACTCCTACATCATATATTAGGTTTTCTCTTAATTTCCTGAAGTCCTAACTAAGAAGACAACTCACTTAGTGATATCTACATAATACCACAGAGAAAAAAATACAAATATATTCATTTTCAGCTCAGCATTTCAAGAATTTATCCCTTTTCACAAACTTTATAAAGAAACAAGAATAGTACTGTAGTGCTGTAGTACTTGCATTGAGTTTAAACACAAGCACAATTCAAAAAATAAATAAATAAATAAATAAAAATAGGCCATCTTTGAAGGGGTTCTCTCCACTGCCACATTATTCTAGCCAGAACACACACTCACACCATCATTAACCTCTGAAAAAAATGATACATTTTATGATTTTTAAATTGTATTCTTTTCAATCATTTAGGAATTTTCTTTTCAGTCATGTAATAACTTAAAAAAAAACCCATATTTCACTGTTGACCAGTAGAGGGAGCAGTACATCTCATGCTTGACCTCAAACTCCCCCTATTATGGTTCACACATCTGCTGCATACTTTTTTTTTTGGTGGCTTACTATCAAAACACCTGCATTAATTAGTGTGTGCTTTGTGTAAATTATATGTATATGAAGTTAGCAAGAGTTTTATAATGGAAAAAATGAAGGCCAAATCTGTGCAACTCTGATGAGTAAGAGACACTGACTTTACAGCTTTTCTCTCTTAATTTGAGGGTCTCTTATTGTCTTATAGCTCCATGTAGAAACTCCTGAAGAGGTGACAGAGGGACAAACAGCAAATCTGACATGTAAAACCACCTGCAGTCTGACTGACCCAACATTCATCTGGTACAAAAATGGACATCCTTTAACCACCAAGAACAACCAGCTCCACCTGCAGACAGTCAGCAGTGAGGATGCTGGTGAAATAGTGGAGGGCAGTTCAGTGACTCTGACCTGCCTGCTGCAAACCCACCTGTGAAGAACTACACCTGGTTTAAGGAAGGTCCAACCTCACCTGTAGGATCTGAACACAGTCACAACATCATCCACATCACTGCTGACCACACTGGACTGTACTACAGTGTAGCTCGGAATGAACATGGAGCTCAGAATGGGACTGTGATGGTCACTGTTAAGAGTAGGTGGTGAATAATAAGACAAATACTGTATTTTAGTGTCCACTTTTAAAATAATAACAGAGGAAGCTGCTAAATGATCTTTTCTGCAGGTCAGACTTTGTCTGCAGTTTGGATTGCAGTGGGAGGAGGAAGCTTTGTCCTCATCAATGTCTTCATCTGCATCTGCTTGTCAGTAATATAGTACACATTTCCCTACAGTGAGACTAAATGACTTCTTTGGGCTAGTAACAATGTAATAACAGATGAACAAAATGATTTAGACTAATTAGAATGTATTCATTGTTTTGTGCTGTTTCCACAGGATGAAGAAAAGAGCCACTGGAACTGATCACAGAGAGATAAAACAAGTAGGATGCCTACAATTGAAAAGACCATATAAAGTAATGCTGTACACTAGAAGGTGACAGTTTCTCTTGTAGGTTGCATTTGTTTCGTGTATGAGAAACACAGGAAAGAGCATTCAAACTTGGATCACTTCAAGAAAGTGTTTGTAAGAGTCTTTTCAGACATTTAAACTGTTCTCCATGAATGTTTCCCTCTCAGGATGATGTCCTGTTGACCACCGTTACACACAGCAGATCCAGACCTGTACAGGCTTCTGCTTCTGGTGACTCTGGAGCTGCTGACTCTACAGTCAGGATTCAGAATGATGTAGTAACCAGCACTGACCAGCAGGGTGTCAGCAATATGACAGTGTTATATTCCACCACTACAATACTGCCACTAGGTGAATTTCACAGAGCTTTTAAATAAAGATGCCCAGACAAACGTTATCAATCAGACACTGAAAAGCTTAGACACTGGTCAGGTCTGTAAGCACCTTTATGAGATTTCCAATGTTACATTAGGCTGTTTAGAACTTACTGGAGGACCATTCAGGACTATGTGAAAAACACTGAAAGTGATAAGCCTGATTATGTAACTTGCATCTAAGACTATATTATTCACAGGGCCTAATTTATACATGCATGTTGTGTTTCCTGGGCCTTTTAAATCTTTAAATTTAAAATGTCTTATCAGCAGTTAAGGTTGTAAACACTATATATAAAGTCTTTATTAAGCCTTAAACAAATTAGGAGCTATATGTAACTGGCTGCATAATTCATTAACCAATACCCAGAGTAAATTAACACCTTCTTAGGTGCAAATGTTGACTAGAAATGTAAGATTTCATGTCAGAACAGGGTTAGGTTTGTATACTTCATATGGTAAATAGTGATTTTTGGTAAAGTATCAAAAGAATACACCAAATTAATGCTTTGTTAATACAGTCTGATAAAATTCAATGTTTACTTAAATGGTAATCTTCACGTTACATCTTAACTCACTTTGGTTACTGCTTAGCAGCTAGTTTAGTTTAGTAGTAACAAGCAGCTAGTTTATTAGCCAGTTATTAGCTTGATAAAATTGTTCGCAGATATTTCATTGATGAGGTTTGATGCTAGTTATTGTTTAATATTAGCAGAGCTCAACTAAGCAGTGTGACACACTTAACATTTTGATTTACAGTGAAATTTCAGAGGCAGAACTTTGTTTTAGGTGCAGCTGCTGTTTTGCCAGAAAAAGGTCTCTGGGCTGCTTGAATAATTCAGTTCTCATCTCTGCATCATCTGCTGGATAAACACTGTGTTTGTGTTATTAATAAATGTAGTGTAGTGGTGAACATGTTTATTAAAGATGGGAACAAGGGAAGTTGGGGTTTGTTCTGATAAACTTATTTTAATTTTTTTTTATTTGTTGAAAGTTAAAGTTTCATCTTCTTTGTTTTGTAGGCCACCAACTCAGAGTGTGGAAGATCCCTCAGTGATTTACAGCACAGTAAAAGATAAGATCTGCTGAGAACTGCTATACAGAAAGAGAGAGAGAGAGAGAGAGAGAGAGAGAGAGAGAGAGAGAGAGAGAGCATTGCTATGGATGGACTCTTGAAGTGTAATGCTATTCTTTGTTGTTATTGTGCATAAAACTGTACCATAGTGAAGAGGATTAAAGCTTTACAGTTCAATATTTCATTTTTTATGTTTAGTAAATATGATATCTGTAGTTGGATTAGCTGTATTTGAAATATTAATCTTCATTTGTCTTCAGTTATCTTTTTTTATCTTTTTAACTTCATCTGTATGTGCAAAACTTATGAAGTAGGCAGTGTTTTATTTAGTAATCATTTTTTTGCTGTGCCTTTGTAAGGGCCCAGCCTGCACCACCAGCCACAAGCAGAGGGCAAAAGCAGAGATGTGCCACAAGTTCAGGGAACTCAAATTCCCAGAAGCCCTTGGGCTGATTAGGCCCAGCCCGGCACACCTGTGGACTCCTCTACTTAAGGCTGTGGCAAACAGCAGCCCTTTGACACACCTTTGTAGAAGTGCAGATCATTGCTTGGGCTCAGTAACACTTCTGAAAACCATTGTATGTGAATGCAAGGAGGGCACCTCAGTGCAAATTTAAATTGCAGGCCGAAAACTTTGACTGTTGTTTGTGCTTATACACCAAACAACAGTTCAGAATATTGGGCCTTCTTGGAGCAAGTGTGTGAGGTCCTGGAAAGGGCCCCATCTACAGACTCCATAATCTTACTGGGAGACTTCAATGCTTATGTTGGCAATGACTCGGAAACCTAGAGGAGGTGTTTGGGAAGAACGGCCTGCCTGACCTAAACTTCAGTGGTGAATTGCTATTGGATTTCTGTGTTGGTCATGGATTTTCCATAACACCAAGTTCGAACACAAGGATGTTCATAAGTGTGCTTGGTACCAGAGCTCCTTGGGTCAAAGGTCAATGATTGACTTTATCATTTCATCTGACTTGCGATCATATGTTCTGGACACTCCGGTGAAGAGAAGTGCTGAGCTGTTAACCGATCACCATCTTGTGGTGAGTTGGATCAGATGGCAGGAAAGACTAGAGGTCAGAACAGGTAGAATCCCCAGATGGACACCAGTGGTGAGGGAGGCCGTCAAGCTGAAGAAGGAGGCCTTTAGGGACTGGATGTCCCGGAGGACTCCCAACTCAGCAGACAGGTACTGATGGGCAAAGAGGGTGGCAGTGGCAGCAGTGACTGAAGTAAAATCCAGAGCGTAGGAGGAGTACGGTGAGGCCATGGAAAAAGACTTTGGTTGGCTTCAAGGAATTTCTGGACAATTGTCTGGTGACTCAGGAGTGGTCAGATTGGATTTGCTCAAGCTGTACTCAGCAGTGTTGGAGAAACCCTGACATATTGTCAGTCAGTGGAAGGAGCATTTTGAAGAATTCCTAAACCCAAGAGACTTGCCTCCCTTATAGGAGTCAGGGCCAGAGGCTTCTGGGGTGTCAGACTCCATTTCTCTTGTGGAGGTCACTGAAGTATTTGGTAATCTCCTCAGTGGCAAGACACCAGCAGTGGATAAGATTCACTTGGAAATGCTTAAGACTCTGGATGTTGGGGGGCTGTGGAACAGTACCTTTGGACTCGCAGATCAGAGCAGTGGTCCCTATTTTTAAGAAAGCGCACTGGAGAGTGCTCAGTCTACATGTGTTTTGTAGACTTGGAGAAGGCTTTAAACCATGTTCCCCAAGATATTCTGTGGGAGGTCCTCCAGTAGTGTGGGGTGCCAGGGCCACTACTCCAGGACATTTGGTCTCTGTTCTCTGGGAGTGAGAGTTGTGTCCTTATAGTCAAGCTCATGCAGTGTGACTGAAGGACTCCACCAAGGTTGTACCCACTCCTGTTTGTGATATTCATGGAACAGGGTGTCAAGGCGTAGCTGAGCTCAGGCTGGGACAAGCAGCAACAGTAATGTGATTACCGTACCGGGCTGTAGTGGTAAAGAGGGAGCTTAGCCATAATTGACAGAAATAAGCTTTCTTTGCAGGGTGGCGGGCTACACTTTACTTGATGGAGTGAGAAGCTCGGACATCTGGGAGGAGCTCAAAGTAGATTCACTACTCCTCCACATTGAGAGAAGCCAGTTGAGGTAGTCTGGAAATTTGATCAAGATGCCCCCCGGCCAAACATCTGTAAAAATGCCAAACAATGTTCTGCACATACTATAACAGCAAGGCTCTGAGGTGAAAGAGTGGAGGTGCTAAACTGGCCTGTGTGCAGTCCAGACCTGATATGCAAGGCTGCGTCTTTTCACAAATGGAAAAAAAAACAAACAAACAAACAAACAAACAAGCTTTGTTACTTAGTTACTGCTAAAAACTGCAGTTGTTGTAGCAATAGTGTTGTTTTTATCTCAAGACCCTCCAAAGAGGCCTTGTAAAATGGCTCCAGATATTGAGTCCTTTTCTGCAGCTAAAACTCCTTGACCCTGTCATCTGTTCCATTTGCATCAACTAATAAACACGGATCCCTCTCCCTTAAAAGAAAAAAAAAAAAGAATAAATAAAAAAGGAATATTTTTCTATAAGCAGGTCATCCACTCACCACTGTAAACGGATCATGTAGGTGACATATTTTATACACAAGTTTCAAGTGTTTTTTTTGTTTGTTTTTTTTTAAGAAGTGTATTTTTTCACTTAAATACACCAGCATTATAGTCTCTGTGTTCTCTAAAGTATAATGAGAGTGTGTGACCTCATGAGGACATTAACACAGTTTAGGTTTCTAATTTCACACAGCAGATAAAACAGCATCACCTTCCTGTTTACTCAAAAACTGCAGACAGACAGTCCAGAGGCCACTGATGACCTTAAGGGCTACTTTTCTTTTAGAACTGTGGGGTATTGTGTTTATTTTTGTTTTTGCTCGCTGTGTAACCTTTAGTTTACCAACTATCAAGCTAGCAGAGTAAAGTAATGAAGTTGTATCATTAGTCATTTATAACAGATGGAGTAGTTTTATGCCTGAATCTCAGAGTGAACATAATTGAAAGTTGTGGCGTTAAAAGAGTAAGCATTCTGTTTTATTGCTGTAGCTCATAAACAGCTTTGTCTTCATTTTTTCTCCAGGTTTGAAAAATGAAATGCTTCAAGTTGCATTGATTTAAGGGCATATTTTGCTGTCCCTCACTGACCCTCGCCCATCTGAGTTCTCACTTAATAAACTTCACTTGTGCTAATATAGTAATGGAATAGCTCTTATTATCGTTTTGAAACATGCAGCAGATCACTCAGACTGTTCTTCAGATATTTGATCTGATGTTTATTCTATCAGCTGGGTAACACTGTACTGAGATCAGCACTGATAAACACACCAGTGATCATTACTGCTTCATACAGTAGCAGGAGAAGAGGAGGAACTGGATAAAGTCCTACAGGCTGGAACAGCCAGTGATCTCCATGTAACACATTATGATAAACTTTATTGTTAGAAATAGAAGTCTACAATATTACATATATAAGTTTAAAAACCTTTAAAATCAGAAACTGAGAGATGATTCAGACTTTGCAGGAGTTTGAGATGAACTTTATTTCTTGCTGTGACCAAGAAGTCACTTGCAGTCTTTGACAGGAAGAAGGATATTTATAACTCCGGGTATTTCAACTAAGAGCAGTAGCTTATAGATACACTTGTTGACCAGACATAGTTTTATATCTCAGTTCTGTCTCTGTTCTCACCATTTATCATTTGGACATTGGAGTTGAACGGTAAGATGTTTTTATTAGTTTATGACTAGGAATGTAGATGTTTTTTGGCAAATGCCAGACAAGGCTTTGCGTTCGTTTTGGTCAACAATGATCTGCGCCTTGCAACTCCTCATCTCGCCATTTTTGCCC